CCCTGGCAGCAGCGTCTCTCCCTGAGCCTACTTCTCTTTACCTTTCAGATCATAGAGAAGCGCCTGGGACACATCCGGAGCAGAGTTTTCCGGGAGGTGGAGATGCTGTATCAGTGCCAGGGACACAGGTACTGTGGGCAGCTGTCACATCCCCCCTCTGTGGGCACAGGGAATAGGCTGAGACCAGACTGATGCTTGTGACATGCATGGGCTGCAGCCAGGCTGATCTCCACCCCACATTCCCTCCCCTTGGCCTCTTGACCCCATGTTCCCTCACCGTGGCCTTGCTGACCAGTGTGGGAGCACCCAGAGGGGATGTTCAGTGGTTTGCCATGGTGATAGGGGCTGCAGGGGCCGGGTTAGAGCTGAACCGAGGGCTGAGCCGAGCCCCTGCCGCAGTGCTCGTTGTCCTGCTGTGGAGAGCTGCACGAGGGGCGGGCGAGAGAGCCAGGAGGGTCTGTGAGCAATTAGGGAGGAGTGGAGCTGGGCGCTGCAAGTCCCTCTCCCTGCTGGGGGGCGGCCAGGGGGGGCCCTGGATGTGTGGTTTCAATCACTGGAAACCCTGTTTTCCTGTCCCACATCCCTCACGGGGACCTGCGCTGGATGGGGTGTTGGGGGCTGTGGGTGGGAGACCCCATGCTGGACTGATGCCACGGTCCCTGCAGAAACGTCTTGGAGCTGATTGAGTTCTTCGAGGAGGAGGAGAGGTTTTACCTGGTGTTTGAGAAGATGAGGGGAGGTGAGTGTGCAGTGCCAGGGTGGGGGGAGCCGGGTTGGCAGGACCCCCGTGAGCCCCAGGTTTGCTCTTACCTGGTCGCAGGCTCCATCCTGACCCACATCCACCGGAGACGCCACTTCAATGAGCTGGAGGCCAGTGTGGTGGTGCAGGATATCGCCAGTGCCCTGCACTTCTTGCACAACAAAGGTGAGCTAGGATGCCCCAGGTGCTGCTGGAACACCCTGGGGTACCCTGGGGAGAATGTGGCCCTCCCAGGGTTGTCACTGCCTCTCCCCATTCTCCAGCCCAGGGGACAGTGCCTGTCCCAGTGCGCAGTTAGGCCCAGCTGCATCACAAGGCTTTTTGTGGTGTGGATCCTGTTCCTCCGGTTTGGCTGGAACTCTGGGCCAGCAGCAATTTTTGCCCTTTTTCAGGGTGCAGGTGGTGATTTGGGGTAGAGAGGGAGGGGTCTCCAAGCCACCCCAGACCTTTCATTATAGAGGTGTTATAGGGGGGAATTTTTCCTCTCTTTGGCTCTTTTGCCCCCAGGGATTGCGCACAGGGATCTAAAACCAGAAAATATCCTGTGTGAGAGCCTGGACCAGGTGAGTAGGGAGCAGCCAGGGTGGGAGTAGGGGTGCTGCCTTAGGGGCGGTGGACACAATGGGATGCTTCCTGGAGTGGTGGACATGGAGGTGCTGCCTGGGGGGGACAGGGGACACGGTGGGGTGCCTTTGAGGGGGGTAGTGAGCACAGGGGGTGCTG